GAGGTAGAACCAGCCAGCCAGGTGGGAGATGGTGTGGACAGCGGGAGGCTCTGGGAGGAAGCAGAGTGTTTCCCACACCCCACCCGACTCAGGCAGCCCTGTATGTAAACCAAGAGCCCAGCCTGCCACCAAAGGCTAAGCAGAGCTCAGGCTCCTTCCTGTTGAGGGCAGGCCCACTCACTGGCTCCCTCAACATGCTCAGGACAAACCCACAGGCACCTCCTCCTGACCTTCAGTCATGGGGGTGACCTCCCCTTCTGCACATTCCCCAAAGGTTTTGGCATATGACATACCCACCCAGGATTCTGAGGACCCCCCCTTTATAGAAGAGGGTGGCAGTGAACGCGGGACTGTGGTGCCCCCCGAGACGGTGCTGACAGGTCATGGGAGTGGAGGTCACACCCTGTTGGGACAGCGTCCCCTCCAGGACGCTGCACCCAGACAACAGCATTGTAAGGTGCTGTGTCCCCACAGGTGGAGCACCTAGGTCCATGAACAGCAGGGCAGGGGGGAGGGCTCCACTCCAGCGACCCACTCAGGAAATCTGCATTTTTCCTCCCTACAACTTTAGGTTCTCTGGGTCTAGAGGGGACAGGAAGTTCCACTGGCCTGAGCTGTGGCCTCATCACATTCATCCTTCCTCAGGGGACACCAGCAGGCCAGAAGCTGAGTCATCACACCAACAGGAGGGGGCAGGACACAATGGGGCACTCTGCAACTGGGTCGCTCTTCAGCCCCCACCCACCATCCAAACTAGGTGGTAAATGGGGCTCAGATCCCTGGGGAGGAGGGGTTGGACAGCTCCTGCACACTTCCGCAGTAAACCCTGTGCATGAAATCTCCAAACCTGACACCTCTTCCCCATGCTCTAGGTCCTCCTCCTGGTCACCAAGGCTTGGAGCCCGACCACCCCCTCTCCTGGGGGCTGCAACACTCCTCACAGTCTCCTCATGTCCCCTCCTGTCTCACCCCCACAGTGCCACCCCCCATGCTGTGCCCCCCACACCACGCCCACTGCTCTCACTTGGCCTTGTACGTGCCCTCAGCCCATCCCACCTTCCTTTACCTGCAGCTGCCTGCAACTCCTCACCAGGCTGCAGAAACCCTGGGAGACATCCCTGCATCCTAATCCATCGCTTTGTAGCCTCGGCAAAAACAGAATCAACCATGCTGAGCTGTGAGCTCTATGGAAAGAAGGTGCCTCTCTGACTGCTCCACAGGCAGTGATCCACGTCAAGCCTCTAGACACCTGACCCTCAGACATCCTGCCTGGGGCTGGGGTGGGGGGCCTGGGACAGAGAATGTAAGACCCAGAGGAGCCACCTCTCCTGGCCACAGCCTACACTGGTCTCAGGGGCTGCAGCTACTAAGTGAAGGGCCATCCAGGTCATATCCACAGGCACGAGGTGCGCAACTGGTGGGACCCCCCTCACAGGCAGCAGTCTGGCCTAGTGGCCAGGGAGCTCTAACAGAGGTGTCCCCCGCTTGCCCTGAGCCCCGCAGCTGGCTTCCTCCCTCCCTCTCCAGGGCCATGGTCCAGGCAGGCTGGTCTGTACAAGGGCTGCTATGGCCAGTCCCTGCTCAAAACATTCATACAGGAGACCACAGCTACCCCTCCTGTGAGGATGCTGCCCTCCTCCGCCCAGGGCAGCTCTGCCACTGGGGAAACCACAGTGCCTTCCTGCCACCCCCCATCACAGCTGCCCAGCTATCATGTGGCTGCAGATCTGATCCCTGCCAGGTCCCACTGGGGCTGTCAGGCCAGAGAAGGGCAGGCAGCCCAGAGCCCGGGCCCTGCCCCAGTGGCCGGGCTTTCACCTGCGGAACCAGTACTCCTGCTGCCCCCATTCTTCAAGTGAGGAGCGCAGGCTCAGAGAGCAGGTCTGCTCACCTACAGACACACAAGTCTCCTCCCAAAGTCCAGCCTGCAAAGCACAGCCTCCATGAGAGCTGGCTTTACTCCTCTGGAAGACAGCTGGCTAAAATCTATCAACCACCTTACCAATCTTCATGGCCTAGAAGCTAGCAATATCCCTGGTAAAAATCTAGATCAGGGGTGGGCAAGCTAAGGCCCACAGGCCAAATCAGCCAAATCCAACCCCAGGCCTGATTCAGCAAATACAGTTTTACTTCAACGTGCACACGCCTACCCACTGACATTTTGTCTGTGGCTGCTTCCTTGTTACAAGGTGGTGGTGCCGACAGATACAGTGTGGCCGGCAAAACCCAAAGTACTTACTGTCTGGTCCTGCAGGGAAGTTTACCAGCCCCTGCTCTAAGCTAAGTCATGTTGAAAACAAAACCCAAAAAACAAAAGGCAAAACAAAACAAAACAAAAAAACAAAAACAATTTATTTTTTAAAAGATTTTATTTATTTGGGGCACCTGGGTGGCTCAGTCGGTTAAGCGTCTGCCTTTGGCTCAGGTCATGATCTCAGGGTCCTGGGATCGAGCCCCACATTGGGCTCCCTGCTCAGCAGGGGGTCTGCTTCTCCCTCTCTCCCTCCCCACTGCTCGTGCTTGCTCTCTCTCTAGCTCTCAAATAAATAAATATTTTTTAAAAGATTTTATTTATTTGACAGAGAAAGGAAGAGCAGGGGAGTGGCACAGAGAGAGGGAGAAGCAGGCTCCTCACTGAGCAGGGAGCCCAATAAGGGGCTCGATCGCAGGACCCTGAGATCATGACCTGAGCCGAAGGCAGACGCTTAACCGACTGAGCCACACAGGTGCCCCAAGAAACAAAATCTATATACAAATATATTCAGATATTACAATTTATAAAAACAGTAAATTGGTAAACCTATACGATATTTTGTATGATGGTTGTTTAGTTACTGATGAACTGGAGAACATATTTATTATGCAGAACAGAATGCAGGGTAGAGTAACCTGGAGAGCATGATCTCCACACATACAGAAAGAGATGCCTCGGAAAAGATGAGACAGAAAGATGTCAAAATGGTGACTGGTGTTGTCCCTGGGTGGGAGGATCGCAGGTGATGTTTCTTCTTTAGTTTTCCCCTGCTCTCCCAAATTAGTAAAACAAGCACAAACGACTGTACTTTGGTCACCATAAAGTAAGAATTTCCCGAGAGCATCTCTGTCCCTCCCTCTAGGTCTCCTTCAGTGCGCCTCTCACACACGAGTGAAGGGCGTGGAAATGCAGGGCACAGAGGGCTTCTCATTGGAGGGGGCGGTCACAGCCCAGAACCCTGTCCAGCTGCCTGGAACACCTGTCCCCTCCTCCTCAGTGAGGGCAGGCCCAACCTTACTGTCCCTGGGAAGCCGTGCTTGCCCGCATGGAACCTGAGCAAGCAAACCACACCATGCTGTGTGACCACCCCGCCTTCCAGCAGGGGCTCCTTGGGGGCTGGCAGCCCCATGGACCCCAGAGCACAGGCCAATGTCTAGAACCTACTGTCTGATGAACCAAATGGGGAAAAAGCTGATTTAAAAAACTGGGTGGGCGGGTGTCTGGGTGGCTCAGTCGGTTGAGTGTCTGACTGATTTCAGCTCAGATCATGATCTCAGGGTCCTGAGATTGAGCCCTGTATAGGGCTCCAAGCTCAGTGGGGAGCCTGCCTGACATTCTCCCTCTCCCTCTGCCCCTCCCCCTGCTCGTGCATGCTCTCGCTCTCTAAAATAAATTAATAAATCTTAGGAAAAACCCTGTGAAATGGCGCTTCTAAGAAGGCAGAGAAATTTGAAAAGAGGATTCCCCAAGTATGCAGACCCACATTTTCTCCCTCAGAGAAGCCCCTGACACCCCCCCAGCGAGCCCCCAGAGGAGCCCTTGCAGACTCCCATGTCCTTCCATACTGCATGTGTGGCTCTAGGACGCAGCACATCCCCAAAGGTCCCGAAGCTCACCCATCTCCCCAATCCAACAGATAAGCGCTATTCACCCCTCAGCCGACTCTTCCTGGTGTCCCCAGCCACCTCCCTCGGGGACCCTGTCACCCTGGCCCTCAGAGCATAGACCGCCAGCCCTGTCTTGGCTTCCTTCCTGCCACGGCGTGGCTCCTTCCGTCTCCCACACAGGTTCTGACCCTTCCTTCAGGGCCTCTACTACCCCCAGGAGGCGTCCTGTCCTCCCTTTTAGATACTGCCTGTCCCTGCAATGTTCTGTCCACACTGAAACTGGGGAGCTTTCAAAATACAAATCCGCTCACCTCATGCCACGGACCCCTCTGGCTTTAAACGCCCCAGGGTCTCCTGCTGCTTCTACGGTAAGCATAACCCTGTACACATGACTCCAGCCTCACCCACTGCTCTCTGCACCCAGCCCCTTCTAGGCCTGCACCTGTCGCTACACTGCCCAGCTCTCCCCACCCAACCCCAGTAACTCTTCCTTTGGGGCCCCTGCCTGAGGCCAAGCCTCCTGGCCTCTCAACCAGCTCAGAGCTCCTCATGTCCCTCTCTCAGAGCCCGTGTCACGGCTCACACTGATCTTTTCATCTGTAAGAGGCCTTGGCCCATGTCTGCTACTCTCACCAGCAGGGGACCAGGTGGGCACAGGGCCTGGCGTCAGTGAGGACACCGAGGCCTGCGGACTGGGTGTGAGGGCCAGCACAAAGCCCTGTGTATGGACGCTGCTCCACACGACGCTCTGGAAAGGACAGTAGTGTGGACAAAGCACACAGCAGCCAGATGAGGCTGGCTGAGGATGGAGGGGAGTCCAGTACACAAAACAGGGCCGGGGGGGAGGTTGGCATGGGGCTTAACTTGAGCCCCTATCTGAGAGGGACCCCAGGCCCTGGTACTGAAGGGGTGTGGGGGTTTCCAGATGCAGGTGTGAAGCAGAAAGTGTGAGGGCAGCTGAGGTGAGGGGATTCACAAATGCCCCTGACCTGAGTGCTTTTCTGCCCCATAAATCTCACCAAGCCCGCCAGGTACAGCCCAGGACATGTGCTCCTCAACACAATATTCCGGCACAGAGCCGGGCATGCCTCAGTCCCCACCGTAGGCACTTCCCTAAGACTCACCGCCCAGCTGCTTACCTTGCACATCGTGCCCACCAGGGCTCCGTCCCGGCTCCAGACGGCACCCAGCACCAGGTCCCCGTGGGCCGCCAGCTCTGTAGAGAAGCAGCCAAGGTCAGGAGGGGGCCCAGGGTCTCCCCACCCTGTCCTGGGCAATGCGGGCACCAGTGAAGTGGGTGCAAGAGGGCCTAGCTTGGGGTCACGCCCAGGGCAGAGGCAGCAGCTTGCAAGGGTCTCTCTCCAGCAGGAGGAGAAAGGGCAGCACCTCCTTCCAAACCCACTGCACTGCGTCTGGACTTCTTCCTTCAGCCCTGCCTGCATCAGGCCACGCTTCTACTCAAAAACCTTCTGAGCCTCCCTGCTCCTTACTCAGCCTGGCTTTCACGTCCCACCCAGGCTTACTTCCAGTCACTCACCAACACACCCCGACTGACACACCAGCCCATAGCCAAGCCACATACATTCCCACCCTGGGCATCTGCTTGGGCCATCCCTGCTCCTCCCCTAGTGTGACAGTTTTAAAATATGTCCACAGGGGCGCCTGGGTGGCTCAGTTGGTTAAGCGACTGCCTTCGGCTCAGGTCATGATCCTGGAGTCCCGGGATCGAGTCCCGCATCGGGCTCCCTGCTCGGCAGGGAGTCTGCTTCTCCCTCTGACCCTCCCCCCTCTCATGTGCTCTCTCTCTCTCATTCTCTCTGTCTCAAATAAATAAATAAATAAAATCTTAAAAAAAAAAAAATTTTTTTAAATATGTCCACAAATTATGTGATGCTCATCCTATTATAGGTTGAATTGTCTACCCACAAAAAGATGCTAGGACGCCTGGCTGGCAATGTTGGAAGAGCATGCGACTTCTCGGTCTCAGGGTAGGGAGTTCGAGCCCCACACTGGGTAGAGAAATTACTTAAAAATAAACAAATAGGGGTGCCTGGGTGACTCAGTTGTTAACCATCTGCCTTCGGCTCAGGTCATGATCCCAGGGTCCTGGGATCGAGCCCCTTGTCAGGCTCCCTGCTCCTCGGGAAGCCTGCTTCTCCCTCTCCCACTCCCCCTGCTTGTGTTCCCTCTCTCGCTGAGCCTCTCTCTGTCAAATAAAGAAATAAAGTCTTAAAAAAGATAAAATAAACAAACTTAAAAAAAAAATGCTGACATCCTAACCCTCAGCACCTGTGCTGTACCTTTCTTTGGAAACAGGGTCTTTGTGGAAGATCAACTTAAGCTGATATCGTTAGGGTAGGTCCTAGTCCAGTAGGACTGGTCCTCGTGAAAAGGGAAATTTGGACACAGAGTCGGACGTGCACAGAGAAAAGACGATGCAAAGACACGGGGAAGACACCACGTACAAGCCGAGGGACACCTGGGGGGCCTGGGACAGACTTGCCCTCATTGCCCTCGGAAGGCACCAGCCCTGTCCCAACCAACCCCTGGGTTTCAGACTTCTGTTCTCCAGACTATGAGACAGGAAGTTTCCTGTTATTTGAAGTCATCCAGGTTGTTGTCCTTCATTACAGCAGCCCTAGGGATCTAACGCGCCCTCCCTTCAAAACATGAAGCCTAATTCCCTTCGTCTTGAGTGTGAGCAGGACTTAGTAACTCGGTTCTAACGAAGAGAGTCTGGTATAAGTGGAGGCATGTGACTTCCGAAGCTGGGCCATGCAAGGCACTGCCGCTTCCTCCCTGCTCCGCCCCCCGTGGATGGTCCACCAGACGCAGCCAGCCGCCATGCTGCAGGGAGCTCACGCAGCCCAGGGAGAGGCCCCGTAGCGGGGACTGAGGTGTCCTGCTCACAGCCAGCACTGTACCTGTGAACCCTCTGAGAAGCTGAGCCTCCTGCCCCAATCTAGTCTTCTGATGAGGGAGCCAACATCTCAACTGCAACTTCATAAAAGACCCTGAGCATGAAGCACCCAGCTGAACAGCTCCCAAATCTCTGACCCTCAGAAACTGAGAGATAATAAATGTTCATAAGTATTTTAAGCCTCTACGTTCTGTGATAATCTGTTCTGCAGCAGCAGATAACCACTTTGCCCAGGCTTCCTGCCCTGGGATTAACCCCAGCCCTGCTGCCACCTGCTCTGTGGCCTTGGGCCTGTTGTTTAACCTCATCTGTGACATGGGAATGGCAGCGCTGCCCAGTGGCACCACTGTGCCGAGTCGGCAGGAAGCCCTCAGCACAGCGCCGGGCCTGCGAGGGCTTGAGACACAGCAGTTACAGCTGGGTGACCCCCCTGATGACAGACTACCTGGTCCCCTCTGCTTCAAAGGTCAGGCTGGTCTCCTGGATAGTACCAGGAGCTGGGTGGTTCACACTACCGACGGCCCTCAGTTGGCCTCTTTGTCCCAGCCCCAGAGGTGGGGACCTCACCTTGGTGAGCCTGGCCCAGCCTGGACACTCCGCACAGCCCTAGAAGGCAAGGCCGTCTTTTAACTCTCGGAGCCTGTGTCTTTGCCCTAAAAAGGGGATGAGAGTGTCAGGGCCTCAGCAGAAATGATGCTGTGGTGTCAGCACAGAATACCAGGCGTCCACATGGATCACAGGGTCATAACCATTCACTGAGGAATCTGACCCAAAGCTGTCATCATCTATGCTGGTCTGAATGTTTGTGTCCCCCCACATGTTGAAGCCTGACTCTCGCTGTGATGGTGTCTGGAGGCAGGGCCTCTGAGAGGTGACTGGGTCACGAGGGTGGAGCCTCCTGAACCAGATCAGTGACCTGATAAGAAGCCCTGAGCGCCCCTTCGTCCCTTCAGCTGTGAGAATACACAGTAGGACGGCCATCGGTGACCCAGGAAGCAGGTTCTCACCAAACACTGAGTCGGCACCCTGATCTTGGATGTCCAGGCTCCAGAACCACGAGCGATGAATTCCCGTTGTTTGTAAGGCCCCCCGGCTGTGGGGGTGGCTTAGAGCAGCCAGACTTGGAACACACGAAGACAGGCTCAGCCGTGAAAGCGAGAGCAGAAGCCTAGGGGAAGGGGCTCAAGGCGGCAGAATCCCTGCCTGGCAGAAAAGCAGCCAGAAGTTTGTTTTCAAAACCAAAGTGACACACCACTTAAGCAATAACAGTAGAAGGAAGGTACTTAGGCATACGGAGGAAAAACAAGATCACAAGATGAAAACAGATGCCTACAGGAAGTGGGATGCAGCATTTGTGATACATCTGCTAGAATCTCACAACCCTTCCTCCCACAGACACACATACTCTAAAATTCACGGTACCGAACACCTAGAGCGACAGGGTGCCGTCCAGACAGGGGCTGCCGGGCACGGGTACCTGTGAGGGCCTGCTGCTTGGCTACATCCCAGACCTTCACGGCCATGCCCGCTGCGCTCGCCAGGACACCGTCCGTGGTGGGATGGAACTGCAGCACCTCTACCTGGACAGGCTCTGGGCCCAGCACCAGCCCGGGCACCGAGGGTAGCACCTGGCCAGGGGCGGGCAGGCGCCACAGCTTCACCTATGGGAAAGAGCAAATCCGTGAGCCCAGGGCCGCCCCCAACCCTGGGACTGTGCTTGGGCATGGGGGCTGTGTATCCCATGTGAGGAAAGACAGGGCAATCCAGCCCGGGATCACGGGGTGTCATTAGAAGCAGGGGTGTGGGGGGGGGGCGGGGAGACATGGGGCGGGGGCTCTGCTCCATGTCCTCCAGTGTCCCCCACCACCCCAGCGCTGTACTCCTCAGGCAGCCCAGCAGCAGAACAGCAAGCGAGGTCCACGGCTCCCGGCAAGGGCACGAGAGCACAAGGGAGCTGGTGTGGGCCGAGGAACCGAGACTCCGGGCTAGCCCGGCTCTGGAGGCCTGTGCAGGGGCCGAGGGCCCTGGAGGGGACTGGGAGGGACATCGAGCAGCTTGTCCAGCAGCTCCACTCACCATCCTGTCAGCTGAGCCCGTGGCCAGGAGGAAGTCATCAAAGGGAGAGAAGTCCAAGTCCGTGACCAGGTCTGCGGGAGAGCAATGGCTGACACAGGCCTGGCGAGAACTTACCAGAACTTTGTTTCCAGCCCCATATGATATCTCCCCAAGGTGGGGAACCACAGCCCAGGGTTTCAGAGATGGGACAACTCTGCCCACATGGTGGCAGGCTGAAAGTCCACGAGGAAAGGCACCTCTGGAAATCCCCGCCTGTGGTACAAACGCCCCAGGATGGGCTAAGGCCCTGGCATCAGGAGGTTAGCACGATGACAGGCGGGAAGCTCCTCAAAACACCAAGCACCTGCATGTGCCCCAAATCCAGAGCCCAATGCAGGGCCTGGCCTGCAAACGTGTGAATGAATGCGAGTGCCAGCCCTGCTCTGGGTCCACGAGGGATTCACAAACTGGACAGACACCACCCAGCCCTGACAGACCCTCAGCACCTCCACAGCAAGACACACACACACACACACACACATCTCTGCAGATGTAGCAAAAGGTAGGCTGAGTACGGGGACTCAAAGGTCAGGGCTCAGGGCAGCTTCATGGAGGAAACATGGTGAGCCCTGAAGAATATGAAGGACTAGAACAGGTCAGACATCAGGGAAGCGGGGGCCTGGGTGACACACCCAAGCTAGGAGTTCTCTGCCCCTCAAGTCCCCACCGGGGAGGGGGTGGTCAGAGTGTATCTGACCCGAGGCTGAGCAGCCAGATTCTCTCTTAAGGGAATTATACCAGGAATTAGAAGGTCTAGTGACAGGGCGCCTCAGGGACTGGCCTGGGTGGAGGGCAGCCAGCTGGGAGGGAGCCGTCAGCTCCCATGCCAGGACCCTCCTAAGGCCTGCATGTCCAGCTGCTCCTTCGGTTTTGGAAACTCCCCAGGCCTTCAGCTCTGGAAGCTCTCTTCTAAATCCCTTTTTGGCTAAAGCAAGCTGGAGCTGGTCTCAGTTCTTTGCAACCCAAAAACCTGAGCTGCTCAGCTCCAGAAGGCCAGGAGAGGGAGACAGGGGCACACCGAGTGAGCCACAGCCCTGAGAGGAAACCCACATTTCCTGAACCTCACCAGGGGGGTGAGGAGGCCAGGGATCAGTGTGGGGTGTGGCAGGGAATTGTGAGCATGATGGCCAGGCTTGCATCACCAGGGTAAGGAGCGCAGTGACTATTTCTGCTGCCTGCCTCCGCAGGGGGTCAAGCAGGTATGTTTTCCTCTCAGGCCAGAGCCAGACTCTGAAGAGAAAAGAGAAGGGCAGGGACACCTGGGTGACTCAGTCGGCTAAGCGGCTGCCTTCGGCTCAGGTCATGATCTCAGGGTCCTGGGATTGAGCCCCCCATCGGGCTCCCTGCTCTGCAGGAAGCCTGCTTCTCCCTCTCCCTCTGCTGCTTCCCCTGCTTGTGCTCTCTCTTTCTCTCCGACAAATAAATAAAATATTTAAAAAAGAGAGAGAGAGAGAGAAGGGGCAGATGAAGACAGGCACCCCTTGGGACAGCCCTGATCTGGACTCCTGGAACTCCTGCCACCCTGCCTGTGGGCTCCGCACTGGACAGGGCAGGGCCCAGGCCGGATGCAGCAGCCAGTGTGAACAACCTGGCATTCCCGAGGGAATGAGAAGTGGTGATGTGGCCAACCTGAGTGCCCAGCTGAGCTGGCAGGCCTGTGTCCTTTATGTGCATTTACCTCACCAAATCCTCACAACAACCCTCAGGATGGCACTATGGCATGATCCCCAACTGGGGGACAAGGACATGAGGATAGAAAGGTTAAGTAATTTGCTTAGAGCCACACAGCTAGGAAGGGGCAAGGCTGACTGATGTCAGGCAGTCAGTTTGGTTTCAGAATCTACATCCTCAGACAGCACCACACTGCCTTTCCCAGCTCGAAGCAGGTCCCCAGCCACCCCACAGCCCAGACTGCAGGAACACTCTTCAAACGCTTCCCAGCTCTCTGCTCCCCTGGGTGGCTGGGCTGAAGGGCACTTGGTCCTGACCAGGAGGCAGAAGGCACCCCCGAAGGCAGGGGAGAAGCTAAAGGCCAGCCCACTGCACTCTCCCCCACCAGTGGCACCTCAGAGGGCAGACTGGTGTCTGCTGCCTTGAAGGCAGGTTCTGAGGCCTAGAGGTGCCCCCAGAGCAGCATTCTGGCAAGGCTGTGAAGAGTTGAGGCCACAGTGAGCTACACCATATCAAAAGAGGCCTGGTCCAGCTTCTCCTCAAAGGTCCCCCAGTAATGGGGCTCACTACCTGACAGACATCAGCAACCTGGGGCAGCTCCCCCATGGGTAACATGCATCAAGAATACAGGGGCCAGGAGTGCCCGAGGCACTCAGTCAATCGAGCGGCCCGCTCTTGGTTTTGGCTCAGATCATGATCTCGGGGTCCTGGGATTGAGCCCTGAGTCTGACTCCACACTCAGTGGGGAGTCCTCTCCAGGATTCTCCCTCCCTTTGCCCCTCTCCCAATGCATGTGCGCACACACATTCTCTCTCTCTCTCAAATAAATGAATCTAAAAAAAACAAAAGAAACAAAAAAACAATACAGGAGTCAGACAGACCCTGGTTCCAAGTCCAGTGTTGGTAGGCTCCTAATCTCTTTTGAGCCTTAGTTTTGTTAGCTAAAAAATGGGTCATTTAAAAATTTTCTTCAAAAAGGTGTAAGAGGGCGCCTGGGTGGCTCAGTTGGTTAAGCAACTGCCTTCGGCTCAGGTCATGATCCTGGAGTCCCGGGATCGAGCCCTGCATCAGGCTCCCTGCTCGGTGGGAAGTCTGCTTCTCCCTCTGACCCTCCCCCCTCTCGTGTTCTCTCTCCTTTTATCTCTGTCTCAAATAAATAAATAAAATCTTTAAAAAAAAAAAAGGAGTAAGAGTGGATAAAAAAAGCAGACTTCTTCCACCTGTTACAACACAAATTAATCTCAAATTTTACGCTAAGTGAAAGAAGCCAGATTTGAATGACTATGTGTGGTATCATTCCATTTATGCGAAACATCCAGAAAAGGCCGGGCTAGCTATAGCTGGCAAACGTTTGCTGCAAAAGGGTAAGACGGTAAATACTTGAGGGCTTGGGGACCTTATGGTCTCTGTCACACCTCCTCAACTCTGTGGTTGCTGGGAGAAAGCAGTCACAGGCCGAATGTCAATGAAGAGGCGTGGCTGTGTCCCAAAAAATGCTATTTACCAAGACAGGCAGCCGGCCAGATGTGGCTGGGACAGTAGCTTGCAGACCCTGGCAGCAGAGGCAGAAAGCAGATCAACCAGTGCCTGAGGCTTCAGTGCCGGAGGTAGAAATGGATTAACCACAAAGGCGCATGAGGATCCTCTGGGGAAATGTTCTAAAATTGGGTTTTGGATACCCAACTCTGTCACTTCCATAAGAGTCATCAAATCCCTCACTCAAAACAAGTCATATTAATGGTATATAAATGATGCCTCAATAAAGTTGTAAAAGACTTTAAGAAGGAGTAAGATGAGAAAGTGTAGACAACGTTCTCAGCACATAAAGAGCTCTTGACCGGTCTTCACCACTGTTACTCTATTGGCTTCTGTTCTCATCACCTGGACCCCTACACTGAGCTGCACACTCAGACCGGGGACCAAGGGTCAGACCCCTTCCCTCCCCCAAGGCCACCCAACAGGCGGCCAGGAAGGCAAGCCTGACGGGCTGGCCCGCAGCTGCAGCAGCTGGCCAGGGAGAGCGAACTGTTCCCTGGGAGCGGGCGGGCTGCCAGGCGGGCTGCCGGGAGCGCCCAGAAGCAGCTGCAGCACACAGAAGCTCCCTTTGTGAGGGCCCGTCTCCAGCCCTGAAGCCCAGCCAGCCCCCTCCTTGAAGGGCGTTGAGCAGCCTGGCTGCGGAGGAGGCCTGGTGGTGAAGGGTGGTCTGCTGGGCTCCAGAAGAGGTTGCGGGGCTAAGAACCCCATAGGACTGAGTCCTCCACAGTGGACTCCACGGCACCAGCCTGGAGCCTGGTGCTGGCCAGGGCACATCCCCCCCTCTCAGTTGGACGATCTGGAGCACTCAGCTTCCCCTCTCTCTGCCCAAGTGCAATTCTCAACCAGGACCCAGCTTTCCAATATAGCTTTCACTGTACAAAGGTATAGCGAGGACAACAGGAGGAACCTGGCAAGCCATGGGACCGTGGAACCAGGTGAGTATGAATCCCTATACCCAGGGAGGGAGGAGTGAGTTCTAGACTTCCTGGGTCCAGTCTCCACTCACCTGAATGGCAGCCAAGGTAGGTCACCTGTCTCTTGTCCTCTCCTTGGCCTTCCAGAGGCACGATGCCCAGCACACCTGTCAAACACACGGGGGCTCTGACTTCAGTCCTAATGGGAACCATTTGCTGCCCAGGGCTCCCAGAGGACACGAGACCCAAAAGCTCAGCCTTGGACCTTCCCAGAGCCTCCACCAATCATAAAATAATACCTCTCTGGACACAGTGATTGGTCCAAGATTATTTTCTTACCCTACAAAAGAACCTGCTGTGACATCAGATGTACAGAAGATACTGGAGAAAGAGGTTGTCTCTTTCTGGCATTGTGGGTCGTATGAGATCAGCTTTGGGCCACCAGTGGCCACTTTTCCCAGCTTTCCCTGAGAAAGAAGCCATCACCCAAGGGCAGCTGAGCTGAAGGACAGGACACAGGTCAGGGCCAATGGCATGTGTGAGCCTCTGGATACAGCTCTGCCTAAAGCCTCTGGACGTCTTACTTATACCAGTCAAGGAAGTAAACAAGTTTTGTTTAAGTCAGTTTGAGGTCCAAGTTATCACTAGCAACCAAAAAAGTCCCCACTAACACGGGAACTTTTTTTTTTTTTTTAAAGGTTTTATTTATTTATTTGACAGAGACACAGCGAGAGAGGGAACACAAGCAGGGGGAGTGGGAGAGGGAGAAGCAGGCTTCCCGCTGAGCAGGGAGCCCGATGCGGGGCTCAATCCCAGGATCCTGGGATCATGACCTGAGCCGAAGGCAGACGCTTAACGACTGAGCCACCCAGGCGCCCCAACACGGGAACTTTTCAAATCTTGGTGTTCCTATTGACTCCAGCCAATCCCAGACCTCCAGATGAGGAGTGGGTAGCACATGGGGACAGCTAAAAACAAACGGGACAGTCCTCTCCTTGTTCTCCTGGCCAATCTCTTAAAAACCATAGCCAGGGGTGCCTGGGTGGCCCAGTCAGTCAAGCATCTGACTCTTGGTTTCGGCTCAGGTCATGATCTCAGGGTCCTGGGATCGAGCCCCACATCAGACTCCACGCTCAGTGTGGTCTGCTTGACATTCTCTCTCTCTCTTCCTCCGCCCCTCCCACTTGCACTGTCTCTCTCTCTCAAATAAATAAATAAAATCTTAAAAAAAAAAAAAAAAACCCACAGCCAGTGTGGTTTATTCAAAGTATACCCCACTTTGTGTATACTTGGTTGATCAGAACCAATCTGATCATCGCACATTAACCAGTTTATAGGGGTGTAAGGCCCTACATGGTGCTGACCTCTGAGCCCCACGAGGAGCCCCCAAGCCTCCAGCCTGAAATGAGTCTGTCCTTCCGCCCCATCCTAATTAGGGTGACAATGTCTGAATCTCCATCCACATCCATGTCCACCTCCCTACCTGGACGGTCAGAGTTAAATGCAATCAAGTGGCAGCTGGATTTGATATGGTTCCCACATGAGGGTGTGGTTCCTGCTCGAATGTCACTGATCCAGGCCTGAAAATAAAGAATAAGAATTGTGACGGCCAGGTCTCTGCTCATAACTAAAGCAGGGGCTGCTCCATTAGAAACGCATTCCTTTGGATCTAACCCTGTCCCCACTCACGTACTCCCTTAGGATATTCAAAATATTATTGAAATGATAACCTAAGTCATAAGGGGGGTAATTTGGTCTATTAAATCGGTTCTCTAATAAGAGGGAGAAGATTGTCAGAAGGGAAGCTCAGGATAAATGAAGTCAAAAGGCCAGGGGGTTGTTTCTTTTAAAAGGGAGAGAGAGAAGCAGAGAAAGCAGAAGTGAGCACCTAAAACAAAAGACAGACTCAACTTCCTCCAAGGCACCGCTGAAGGCCTCTACCAAGTATAGGGGTCTCCTTGCAAGCCCCTGGAGAAAAACACTCAAGCTCAGAAAGGGGAAGAATCAAGGCCTCTCCTCCACAAAGTCTCAGAGAAAGATGAACAATGCACCCCTGAGAAAAGGCAATAATGTTAACACCCCCACATACGGAGAGGCAAAGGAGCATTCTTTCTGAAACTAAGATTATCAAAGTCCAAACGTTTTCTCTGTTGGTATCAAAGCACTGTGTCACACTCATCCCTGCCGCCTGAAAATTGAACACCCTTGTTTCCCAACCTACCCACCCACAGTGCACTGGAAACTGCCTCCTCCATGCAAGTTTCTATTTCAATTTTCACCTGTGTTATCATCTTGCATTATTTCATTTCATTATTTCATCTTCGCGGCTGGCGCAAGAGCAAGCAAGAGCAATTTACTCTGGCGCAAGAGCAATTTACACTCACAAATAGAGTGACAGGAAATATCTTTGTAAAGGAGAACAGATCACCTGTCCTCCCATCTCCCTAATCTAAACTGTTTTTAAAGCTCTCTCTGTAATCCCTGGTCCCGTGCCTGTCTGTTTACCTTGCTGGACTAAAGCCCACCTGGGACAAGCCCCAAGGCCCATCAAGTATACTCCAGATCCATTCAAGGAGTGCTTACTGCACTCAGAAAGACAGTACTAATGCAAATCTGAGCACCTCTCCACCCTTTGCTTTGCTTTCAACCTTTTAGTGCAATGGCTCCCCACTGCACTCAAAAAAAACCCAACTTCTTCCTGTGGCCCTTGGGCTCTGCAGGACCTCTCTGGACTCACCTGACACCCTGCTTCCCCATCACTGCCCTCCATCCACTCTGGCCCACTTTTCATTCCTCCACCAGGCTCTTTCCCACCCCACTCTTCTTGTAGCTGGCTGCTTCTCACCTTCCTGACCTCAGCTTAAATGTCACCTCCTCCCTGCAGCCTTCCCTGACCACTCTATGGAGATTAACCTGCATGTGGCCATTCCCCTCCATCTCCATTCCAGCCTTTCCTGTGTGTTCTTCAGGGCACTTACTAAAACTTGCAGTGCCCTTGCAGGCCTGTCTGCTTGCTGTATGTCTCCCTCACAAGACTGTAAGCAGTACAGAGGAAGGAAAGTGCTGTGGTGTTCACAGTTGTGGTTCCAGGAGCACACGGAAGTAGAGAGGAAATATTGTCCAAAGGATGAAAATTGGGCTGCTGCCCCAGGCTACCCTGCTATGCGTCTGCTCCTGATCGGGCTACTAGAAGTCAGTTCCTAAGCCTGCCTTCCAAATAACATTGGGAGCAGCAGACCAGGACTGGCATCATCTCTGAAGCACACCCCTCATCAAGCCGGCTGCCCTTTCGGGGGTCCGAGGCGCCCCTCAACACCTGGTTCAGCTCTTCCTCTGGGCTCCACCTCCTCGGGCCTCCCCAGACCCCACCCATCCCCTGGCAGCATCACCCCAGTAAGAGAAGAGCTGCTCTTGCGCCAGCCGCGAGAGAAGGAAGCGCCGGCGGAAACCCGAGGGAGGGGCGCGCCTCTGTCTGAGGGGCTCCCGCTCTTCAGCTGACACACCCGGACTCACCAAGGCCAGCGGAGAGGGAGGCATCTCTCCCACACCCCAGCCCCGGGCAGGGCCGATCGTGGCGGCAGGGAGGAGCTGGTGCCAGCAGAGCCCGAGCCGCGGTCTCCGGCGAGGCCGACCGGAAGCCGAAAAGGCAGGAAGCCTTGCAGGCCTCAAGCCTCGGCCCGGCCGGGCGGGCTGCACCGCTTCGGGGGTCCCGGGGCGAGGCGGGCGAGCCCGCGGACCGCGGCGCTCAAGGGGCGGCCAGAGAGAGACCGGCCAGGGAGCGCCAGATTCTGTCCTCCGGGTGCGACGGAACAGCCGGGATACCAAGCCCGGGCCTGAAGGGGGCGCCCCGGGGCAGGCGGGCTCGGGGGGTTCCCGCGTGGGGTCCGGGGGAGGCGGAGGGGCGGAGGCGCGGGGACCCGCGGGCAGGGCTCACCTCGCGGCGGGACGGCCGGGCCTCCGTGTGTCGGAACTTGGACACCTTGAAGCGGCTCATGGCGACGGGGACTGCTGCGGGTGCAGCTTCGAAGACCTGGGCGTCGGCTCTCAGGTGCACGGACAGCAGCCGCGACTCCCGCCGCCTCCGGTCCCACCCGCTCGCGGCCGCTCGCGGCCACGCCCCGATACGCCCCCGGCCAATCGCAGCCCGCTCCGGCCCACTGGGCCCCGCCCCGGGCATCTCTCCCCCGGAGCGAGCGCCGCCGGCCCCGCCCCCCGACCAATCGCCGCGAGGCCGCCCGCGAGGCCACGCCCCGATGCCGGCGGGCTGGCCGCGCGGGCGGGGAGGTCACGTGCGGCGCGCTGTCCGCCCCCGACCCTGAGGGGCTCGCGCGGTGGCTGGGGGCACAGTCCCGGTTTTGCAGTCAGGCATTTTTCTCGGGGAGGCTCTCCAGCGTGCCGGGCGCGGCCTACCCGGGGCGGAGAGGGGGCGGAAGTGGACTAGCTCCATTTCGGAGACAGGGACCGCGCTCAGGACAGAGGAGCCGCTAACCGCGGTCAAACAGATAGCGGGTGGCAGCGGGGGAAGGAAGGGGCGCTCAGGTCTGACGCATATCCCTGTCGCGGGGCTTCATCTAGCGCCTCCGCGTCGCACCCCTCCTGCTTAAGCCAGGTGGGCTCGAGGTCAGGGATGCGGCCTTCAGCATCCCCGCATTAGGGCATGTCTTGGCTGCAGGCCTTGGGCGCCGTGGGGCAGGACCGACACCTGCAAGTATGATTTAGAGGTAAACGGAAAGGGAGAAAAGTGAGAGAAATGGAGAATACCTTTCAGAGCCCCACCAATGACTTGCTTAGTCCCCAAACAACTCAGGAAGAAAAGAGAACAGCTTCATTCCACAACCATTTCTCTTTGCTTTGGAGACGAACTCCAGAATAGGCTTTCTGCTTGAGAACAGGCAGGACGCCTGCTCAGGCGTGTCTGGAAGAGGGACTTTGATCTGAGGAATGCGAATGACTGCTGCAAAAATTTCCGGAGTCTGTGGCAGAGGACAGCCTGTCCTGAGGTACGTGCCTGCAGGGCGATTCGGAAGGCTTGCAGTGGTGGAGGGCACCAAGGGCCGTCCAGATGCAAGTTCTTTTTTTCAGTTTTCACAAGTAAACTGTGAGGTCTAAAAGGCTACTTCCTACCTGTATCCTACCAGGTGAGTTAAGAGAGACTTTGATGTCCATAAATTAAAAGTAGGATGTCAGTGGAGTTGACTGAGGCCTGGGATTTGGAATTCTAAGCAGTCCAGCAGCCCCTGGATACAGCTTTTCCAGGAAGCCTACTCTTCAGACTCTGGAATTCCAGCAGAATCTGCAGTGTTGTCTCATGTTGGTTGTGGTGTTCGATTACTGCCAATATTGCTTCTTTTTCCCCAAAAATTGTGGTAAAAAAACATATAAGATTTACCATTTTTAAGTGTCCAGTCCAGTAGTGTTAGGGACTTTCACAGTGTTGGGCAACAGGTATCCAGAACCTTTTCATGCAATACTGAGACTCTATACCCATCAAACAACAGCTCTTCATTTCTCCTTCCCACCAGCCCCTGGTAACCACCATTCTACTTTCTATTAGTTTGACTACTTTATTTATTCACTTACTTTTTAAGATTTCATTTTTAAATACTCTCTACACTCAACATGGGGCTCAAACTCACAACCCCAAGATCAAGAGTCGAATGCTCCTCTGAGGCAGTCAGGAGCGCGTAGTCTGACTACTTTTGTTATCTCATGTAAGTGGAATTGTATGCAATTTGTCCTTTATTTTATTTAACATAATGTCCTTAGGTTCTTCCATTTGTAGCATGTGACATTATTTCCTTCCCTTTTTTTTTTCCCCAAAGTAAGCTCTATGCCCAATGTGGGGCTTGAACTCACAACCAGGAGATCAAGAGTCACACGCTCTACTGACTGAGCCAGCCAGGTGGCCCCTTTTTATTATTTTTTTTTTTTAGGATTTCCATCCTTGTTAAGTCTATTATACTACTATATGCACCACATAATATATACCATTGATATACCACATTTTGTTTGTCCATCGACAGCCACTGGGTTCTCTCACCTTTTGGTTATAGTGAATAATGCTGCTTTGAACGTGGATGTGCAAATCTCTAAGGTCCTGCTTTCAGTTCTTTTGGATATATACCCAGAAGTGGGATTACTGGATGATAGAGTACTTATATTTTTTTGAGGTTCCTCCATACCAGATATTGCTTTTAGAATTACAATTATTAATAGTTTAATACCACCTGTTACTATAGATTGTTTAACTCTATGGTATGCAGTAATCTCTTCTTGCATCAACAATATTTGACTTATAACCTCCCAGGAGGGGGACATTCAGACATTATGCATTGCAATTCACATGTAAATCAACTATAGATCTAAAGCTATAAAAATCTTAGAGGGAAAACATAGAGCAAAAGCTTCACAACACTGGATTTGGCAATGATTTTTTTTATATGACACCAAAAGATCCAGGCAAAAAAGAAATAAATAAACCGTGAAGAATTTTAAAAATCTGTTCCTCAAAAGACATCATCAACAGAATAAAAAGGCAGTCCACAGAATGGGAGAAAATATTTACAAATCATATGTGTGAGTTATAAGGGACTCATATGGAGAATATAATAGAGAATTCCTAAAAGTTAACAACAACAAAAACAAACCACTTACGGGGCGCCTGGGTGGCTCAGTCGTTAAGCGTCTGCCTTCGGCTCAGGTCATGATCCCAGGGTCCTAGGATCAAGCCCCGCATCGGGCTCCCTGCTCAGTGGGAAGCCTGCTTCTCCCTCTCCCACTCCCCCTGCTTATGTTCCCTCTCTCGCTGTCTCTCTCTGTCAAATAAATAAATAAAATCTTTAAAAAAAAAAAACCACTTAAATTAAAAATTGGCAAATTTCTGGGGTGCCTCAGTGGCTCAGTTGGTTAGGCGTCTGACTTCAGCTTGGGTCATGATCTCAGGGTCCAGGAATCAAGCCCTGCATCAAGCCCCGTGTCTGGCTCCACACTCAGCAGGGAGTCTGCTTCTCCTTCTCCCTCTGCCCCTTGCCCTGCTCATGCCCCCCAATACATAAATAAAATATTTTTTTTTAATTGGCAAAAGTCTTGGATAGACATTGCGCCAAAGAAGATATACCAATGGCCATTAAGGGTATGAAAAGACGCTCAACATCACTAGCCATTAGAGAGATCGAAAGTATTATGATACCACTTCACACCCAACAGGATGGTTACTACCAACAAACACAACCCCCAGAAAATAACAGGTGTTGGTGAAGATGTAGAGTAACTGGAACCTTTGTGCACTGTTGATGAGAATGTAAAATGATACAGCCGCTGTGGAAAACAGTATGGTAGTTCCTCAAAAAATTAAAAATAGAATTATCATATGATCCAACAATTCCACTTCTGGGTATATACCCCAAATAATTGAAAGCAGGGTCAGGAAGACATACTTGTACAACTGTGTTCATAGCAGCCTTATTCACAAGCTAAAACATGGAAGCAACCCATTGTCCATCGACAGATGAATGGATAAGCAAAATGTGGTCTATACATACAATGGGATTTTACTCAGCTTCAAAAAGGAAGGAAGTTCTGACCCCTGCTACAACATGGATGAATCTTTTTTTTTTTTTAAGATTTTATTTATTTATTTGACAGAGAGAGAGAGAGAGCAGGAACACAAGCAGGGGGAGTGCGGGAGGGAGAAGCAGGCTTCCCGGCGAGCAGGGAGCCCGATGCGGGGCTCGATCCCAGGATCCTGAGATCATGACCTGAGCCGAAGGCAGATGCTTAACGACTGAGCCACCCAGGCGCCCCAACATGGATGAATCTTAAGGATGTTGTGCCAAGTGAAATAAGTCAGTTACAAAAGGACAAATAATGTATGATTCCACTTATATGAGGTAGTTAGACTAGGCAAAACCATAGAGACAGAAAGTAGAATTGCAGGGGCCAAGGGGTTGTGTTATGTGCATTTTCCCACAATAATTTTTTTTAAAAGATTTTATCCATTTATTTGCGAGAGAGAGCATGAGCGGAGGTGGGGTAGAGGAAGAGAATCCTTAAGCAGACTCTCTGCTGAGCACGGAGCCTGACAGGGGCTCGACGCGGAGCTCCACGCCGGGCTTAGTCCCAGGACCCTGAGATTATGACCTGAGCCAAAGTTGGATGCTTAACCAGCTGAGCCATCCAGATGCCCCTAATTTTTTTTTAAATATAAATTAACTATACATCGGGCGCCTGGGTGGCTCAGTTGGTTAAGCGACTGCCTTCGGCTCAGGTCATGATCCTGGAGTCCCGGGATCGAGTCCCACATCGGGCTCCCTGCTCAGCAGGGAGTCTGCTTCTCCCTCCGACCCTCCCCCTTCTCATGCTCTCTCTCTCCATCTCATTCTCTCTCTCAAATAAATAGATAAAATCTTTTAAAAAAATTAAATTAAAAATAAATAAATAAATAAACTATACATCTACAGCAAAGGTTCAGTAAACCTTCCAAATTTGCTTGATGTCACGTCATTGTTATCCCTGAGTTTGTTTTTGTTTTGCTTTGTTTTAATTTATCATTATGTCAGATGGGCCTAAAATGGGCAAGTCAGAAAAGTCTTTAACCCCCAGAGGTAACAAATGGTCATGTTGTGGGCCAAATCTGATTCACAGATATATTTTAGTTGGTTCACATGATGTTTTAAAAACTGGTAAATTTCCTAAAGGTTTGGATTTCAGCCTCTCTGGAAAAATGGAAAGATTTGGCAAGGCTAGGTCCACATCCCCACATGGCTGAAATGGGCTGAGTACCACCTGCCACCATCATTGCATGTTTTCCCATTCACCACACTCCTACTGATCCCTCAACCTATATGCCACTACTCCACCCACCCTTTACCTGCCTGGCCCTGGCACCTAGGCTTCTGACCTCTGACCTTCTCTCCCAGGAGAGAAATGAACCATGCCATGCCCCTGGCTATGTTGAGTCATGTGATTGTATTTCCCTAAACTGAGGGTTGATGGAAACAGAGTAGAAGAATGTCAGCTTTCCCATTCCCACAGCCACCAACCCAAGCTCCACAGCAAGGAGAAGGAAGAGATAGAAGAACATCAAGGCCCAGAGACTTGCCATCT